CACAAAACGGGATGAATTCACCATATTCTGAAATGTTTATTTCTTCCTTGTAGAAGATTTTGTAATAGTCGACAATTTTATATTTTCAATGGTTAACATCATGAGTCAGTTGAAGCTAGACCACCATGGAAAACCTGGAATCACTGGACGACCATCTCGTCCTATTGTGAGACTTCTCAGTAGTGCGCATCCACGACCTCGCCCCCTGCGATATTCGAACCCATGACCTATCAATCTCGTGAGCGAGCACTTAACCACTAGACCACTGAGACACTTAATATTACAAGAGTGAGAATCGAAATTAACATGACATAGTTGATGGTTGAATGATTCAGAATAACAGTAGTAGCAAATTGTGGTAAAAAAAACAAATTACTACTAGTTAGGTTTTCATTCTTTATGTTTTCATGTGCACACAATTACTGTTTAGTAGATAAGAGCTTTAAATTCAAGCATACTTAATTAAAGCTTGCTGTGTCAACAATGGAGAGTAAAACCTTTGAAGGGTACTATTTTCACAGTTCTTTTGTAATGGTAAGGAGGAAAATACAGACAGTTTTATTTATCATCATTATTATTGATATATCTGATGTCTGTAATGAAACATTGGTCAGTGACAACCATTATTGAAAATCACTTCGATAGAAATATGTTTTTGTTTTAAGCAAAGAACTTTCATGCAGAAAATTCTGTATGTACATAAGTGTGTGCTGTTGCTTAGGACACGAAATTCTGATAATATTCGTTTGATAATTGATTGTTTCCGTTTGGCCTCATTTGCAAGAGATACCCCTTCTCTCTTTACTGATAAATATTCATCCTCTCTAAAATCTATAATATACATTTCTATTCGGATTTATGTAGCAATGAATATGATTCCATTACATAGATCATGCTTTATTAAAGACTGTGCTCTGTTGAAAAATTTAACAATGACATTAATTAGGTCATGAGACTTTCTGTCTGAAGAGCATTATTGACAGTGCTTTATGAATTTTTTACTATTTTATTTATTATTAGCTTTATTCAATATTATATGTTCGGTACAATATAGAATTGTCAGCACAAAGTGTTTCAGCAAGTTTACGTTTCTTATTTTTAGATCGATATTGACAATAAATATTGAGTGATCTCCAGTTATATATTAGCATTTCAGAAGTCGACATCTGAATAATATTCATTCTTTTCAAGGCATATTGCCAGTCATCACGATATCTCTGATTGTACATTTTTGTAATTTTTACAACGAAATGTCGTAAACTTTCCACAAACGCACCTGAATAGTTTATACAATTAATTGATATAATGATCTGTTTAAAAAAATACAAGGAAACAGATAACTTGTTGAAATATCTAGATGACAGGAACAGATAGCCCAGATATTCAAGCAAATCTTTCGGAACAATTATTTTATACTGCATATGTGAATTTTGTGCAGACATTATGGAGCAAGTCTTTCTAATGAAACAATAATTATTGAAAAGTTTCATAACATTGGATGTATACCAGTCAACTGTGAACATTAGTAATGACCAAATTAACCATAAAATGAATCATAGAAAACATATGGATATAATGATTACAACAAAAAGCTAAAATAGTTCAAATTTGTTAAAATCTAAGACAAGATTTTAAGAAATAATTAATACGAATATGGTTTAATACTCGTAATGGATTTCAGAATTGGTTATGTACTCATTAGTACAGTCAGGATGAGAGATAAAAAGGAAAATTGAGTTGTAGCTACAGTAGTATTCGGTTATTGTTTATAGTCGATGAAGATCCTGGATGTATGTTTCGTGCTAGTTGTCAACCATTAGTAAAGCGCATCTGTAATATTGAACGAACTAATACTCATTATCGGATACGAATTCTCATTACCTAGTTACGTAATTTAAGATGCTACCATTAAGCTACTTGAACAGTAACTGACCTATTGCAGATCTAAGATATTTAAAACCGACTGATAACTACTCACTGACCAATCAATGTCCGTCCATTCTTGAATACTGATTGAGTTCTATCGATCAAATTATGTGACCATTAGATTTAGTGATTTAAAATTGCCTACATTGTTTTGGAATTGTATACGTACGAAACTAATAATCCTCAAAACTGGCCATATATTCAAGCGTATGTATACAAACTATAGGCTGATGTGTAACAATCTATTATTAGTCATTTTAATACCCATCGAAAATAACCAATAGAATTTCGATGACTCATGTATAGTTTTTAAATATTTTCTAATTTCTAACCTGTACACAATCATACTTTATAAGTTCACTTCACAATTGATTTCTTTTAAGATAAAGTTCATTGAAATGTGAAGTAAACCGCCTGTTATCAGATTGATATACTAAGGTGAAAAGTGTTAACGTCGAATTTCTATCAACGTTTCCATTGTAAGTACATTTTGTATAAAATAAATATATACCACCTTATCTAGTGAGTTTATTGGTTTTAATAGTAGTGTTTAGTATTTCAGTAATATTAATATGAATCTTGATTAAATTCTATATCATCAGAAGGGTTTTTGTGGAGATTTTACAAATTTCAATAGTTGAAATCATGAGTCAATTGAAAATAGGCCACCATGGAAAACCTGGAATCACTGGACGACCGTTTCGTCCTAGTATGGGACTCCTCAGCAGTGCGCATCCACGATCCCACCCCGCGCGAGATTCGAATCTATGACCTATCAGTCTCATGCGCGAGTGCTTAGTCACTAGACTATTGAGCAGGCATCCAACGGTATTAATGTCTAACTTCAACCGATCCACGAAATTACGCCACCGTCCACCATTGTCTTCAGTGAGCTGATATCTCACAACAGACCTGGTTGAACTCCATTGGTCACGGCTTCTCACTAGAACTCCAGGAAATACCTCTTGAAGTCAGTCACTAGTGAGCAGGGATTGGGATCGTGGATGCACACTGCCGAGGAGTCCCATACTAGGACGAAACGGTCGTCCAGTGCTTCCAAGTTTTCCGTGGTGGTCTATTTTCAGTTGACTCATGATTTCAACCAGTGAATTCCATATCATTTATTAATTACTGATATAAAACATAGTTCATACACTTGTGTAAGAAAGATTTATCTTAGTTTCTGTGACCATATTCTGAATTAATTTTGCTTAAAATGGAATAAGAACCTACAATGGTGAAATTTATAAGCGCCTCAGTAACACAGAACATAAAACAGTTACATTGAAAACTCATGTATGTATGAGCCGAAAAAATTATATCCAAAATTCATCATGAACTTAAAGAATTTGGAATTCGAATTATTTATGTGCAGCTTCAGCTCGGAACTTTAGACTACTGAACAGTTTTGAATCACACTGAGTTTAAGCGACATTTCATTCATAGTCTACTCCCATAAATAGGGAGTTTACTATACAGAAAAATGTCGAATGCTTTAACCATCCGGTCATCACTGCACTTTAAAGAATCATAAAGTTTGATAAATGTTAACTTCAACACCTGAAAATTGGTTGGATTCTATTTATTCAGATAATAGAAGCCTCACTCATATTCATTCACATCTCCCTAATATGTTAGTAGCAGTCGGAAGTTTGTTTGATAATAAAATTTATCTGTACTGGAAATATGTGTGTATGTTGAAACATTTACATGACTAATTTCTGATAAAACCGAAAAGTGATTCTTGATTTATTTTGAAACTTCTGTCATGTTACATAAAGAACATCGAATAAAGGAATAATGAAATACAGGAAGTGATTTACTCTAATATAAAACTTCTCAGTAATCAGTATTCATAACACCCTACACCAAAAGTGATAAACACTAAGATGCTTCTACCTTACATCATCATTGATATTTCAAAGTTATCTTTTTCTAATATCATTCAGACTAAGATAAACCTTAATACTTATTCAATGTCATCAGTGAATAACCGATTTCATCCATTTCAATCTTACTAATTTTATTGTTTATGAGTTTCTCACTGTAACCAATTCAATAGCAAATACATTGAAGATCGAGTATGTTGAACAAAAAATCAACAATATAAACCAATAGATCAAAAATATTGTTCTTCTTGTCATATCTCATAGTTACATATTTATACTGTTACCATCCTCAGTTTTATTACCAGTTCCTAGTAAGAATTCCATTCAATTTTCCTTTTCAATTAAAGTAAAAACTAATTTAGTAAAAGTTTATAGAATATTAATCGAGATCATTTTATGAATCACACAACAAGTGAATGATGTTTCAATTATTTGAATCATCATAATAATGCGTGTTAATATTGTGTAATTGACATAGTTCTAGACGTTGAAATGACCTTGAAAAATTTACTTTATACAATTACTACTATAATAATGAGGTATTGTATTGCATACCATTATATTTAATTTGTTTCGCCTCAGAAGACAATCTAATAAGTGATAATAATAATAATGATGATGATAATGATGTCATACGATTTCACCATAACCTCAAATTTTCAAGCAAACAACAAAAAAAAACATATCAAGATAAAAGATGATCATCATCTTTTTGCGTGATAGATCATCTAGCTATAGATAACCTCGTCTCTATTATCATTATTATTATCACCCTTACATTTATATCACCATCGTCATCATCATCATCGATACCCCTATATACCATAGATTAAAGGTATTCATGCATGCATACAATTAATAAATAAATAGACAATCATGTGTGCATAGAATCAGAGTCCAACTAGATGATTTGTGAACGATTTGTTTAATATTAGAAGGCCGGTGTTAGTTAGGCAGACATATTATAGATAGACAATTATACTTTGATTAGCACCATTAACAGTCATATTCACGTGATTATCTTTTTGAGTTAATAATGCACAAACATTTTATTTGTTTATCGAGTACACCAAATTCACTATAAATTCACTAAATGAATATGATCTAAATCCATTTCTTTTCTTAATATACTACTTACATTTGTACATTTTATTCAATTACTTGTGAATAAGTGTAAGTGCCATCAAGAAAAGAAGAAGAATATCATACTTCGAAAGTGAAACATCAATTATACAAATACGTGAATAACAATATGTACGATCAAACTGAAGTGGAATTCCTTGTTAATTTAATTATTAGTACACAAAAATCAGAAAAATCATTTTCTCCTTATGAATATGACTATCATTCATTAAATACTACTTCACAATTTCCTACAGCATCTACAGCACTTTCATCGCCTGTATCATCATTAAAATCATTTTCAAGTAAGTTATTGGTTTTATTTTATTATTATAATGTACTGTATTGTTGTAAAATATGATCATTTGATCCTAGATAACATAACACCTTGTTATTTTACTGATCGGATCAGATTTTGTCTATTGAATATAAATTCATTTGGAGAAAATCTAAATATTGCCTCTCTTACAAATAATAATTTCTGAATTAGTGATTTGATGAATTATGATGGTTTGCAAAACTTAACTATTTGACAGTTTTCTTATTTCACTTAAATAATTTATGTGATGCGCCTCGCTTTTCCAGTGATATATTTTGTTAAATTAAAGTTTAGTTCAATAAATCTTGTTGGTATTGATCACAGATCAAATTCATAGTAACAAGCAACACTACATTAAAAATAAATTATAATTACAAGAAATGGTTCTAACTTGTAAGGTGAAGACTACCTCGTCGGAGTTTGCGCGATTATTATGATCAATAGTTGGCATGCGAGAGGGCCCGGGATCGTTGCCCGGCACTTCCACATTGCAACAGCCAGTTGCCACACTTTTGTGCTGAGAATTCTATATTGTACTAAAAAGATAATATTGAATAAAGCTATTAATAATAATAATAATAAAAACATGACTCAGAATCGGTCCTAAGCTTTAAAATTATTTCATACCTTTTTTCCCACTTATTCATTTTCTTTCCTCTCAACTTATATTCATTATTCTTAGTCTTTCTTACCGTTACCTATACTACTTCTGCTACAGTGCTTTTCACCTCGATAATTTCTTTTCACTATGCTCTCAACTTGAGCCGATGTACAACAAGACTTGACTTTGGATTGCATACAACTGATTGACCGTCTAAAAATATGAAAATTTACTAGTATTGAAAGATGATCAAAATACATTTTTCGATCTATTTTTGTTATTAATAAAAATTAATTTCTTTGTAAACCTTTTACAGATGCGGCTATATTCAGAGTCGAAACCATTGATAAATTTATTGCATACCTGATTAGTGTGTTGATTAGACGAAAGATAGCTTTCAACTAGGTATCTCTAGGGCATCAGTTCACTAGCAGAAAGAATGAATTATCTTTAGTCTCCAATGGTTTAAGAAGAATGCAATAATCTTGATGATAGTTGTAACAGTAGTAGCACCAATAGTCGTAGTAAACGTAGTAATTCCATGCACAAACTAACATTATTGCCTTAAAGTCAGAGTATATTTAAACTACTTGTTTTAAAACATAACTGAAATACGGTTCACACCTGTGACAGTAATTGGAATACTGATTCATTTTAGTTAAACCTTATCAAGTCATAGGGTTAAGTCATACTTAAAATGTTTTGATCTTGACGATTAGATTAACCATATTCAATCAAACTATTTGTTAACGGATCCCATCAGCCAAGTGATGCAGTATACATACATTCATGTTAGTGATGCTAAAGGGTTAGATTAGTTACTATACATCTATCATTGTCATTTCATACAGTCACTGAAAACATCATTTGGTATAAACATACAACTGGTTAATCTTCTTAATTCTTCTTTAACCAATCAGCAACCAGATCTTATAAAATATAATTAATTACCAGATAAGCTTTAATCTGATGATTGAACAGATGATCACCATATCCATGTCTCTCTATCTCTAAGTTCATTAACCATTATAATGTATATGTATATCCTTAGTTTGTAATATATTCCATAGTTTAGACGGTTCAAATCTTCACTCCATCAATTAGGGCTCCAAATTACAATGAAATACACACACACACACACCATGAATAAAATATTTTGGTTAAATCGAAATTCTACTTTGCATACACTAACAATAATATTATCTATCAAGGTTACAACCAGATCAGACTAATTCTTCTGCAAAAGTGTATCATATTTTTTTACTAAAAAAAACATATGAATTATTTCTTATCGTTCATAGTTAGTTAACTAATTAGTTGACCAGTTAAGAACGTGTTGACTGTCGTTTGAAGTTGACTGTCGCTTCAAATGTTTATCTCAATCTTCTTTTCTTTTTCTTTCGTTTCTGTTACTTTTTTCCTAATTTAGATTCCGTTTTTGTTTTCATCCGTTGAATATTAGTCTATTTCTTCGGTATTTACGTGTGGTTCATTTTGTCGAAATCTTTTGTATTTCATTGTTTTTATTTTATGTATTTTCTTAAAGTTACTTTTATTTTAAACCACGGGTGAGATAATATCTAACCATTAATTATTATCATTACTGTTGTTCTTGTTATACCTAGATCATTGTATGTATGAGAAATACTGACTGTTTATTACAAATCTCATTTTCACGAATCAACCTGTTTCGACTGCTGGGAATAGTATTGTGTTATTAGTTTACAACTCATTTATCGAGTACATATTTGTGTACTGAAGTTTGAATGATGTGAGGGCTAGTTATATCAGGTAACTGATTAAAGCGGAGTAGTTTGAGAATGTGAAATACTGTAGTTGCTACCCAATCTTATACACACATTCACTTAGTTAATCAGAACAGTCGAAAAAAAATTCAAAATTATTCGAGTCATTGACTATTGATGCATGTAATTATACTTTGAATCCTTCTCATTATTCGAATCCTATTGATGATGATACGTCTCTCAAACAGTAATCTATTAAGGGATAATATTTAAAATTTTGTTTTAATGATTAAAAGTATTGAATACAGTGAATAGCTAGGACATCATTATATATGTAAAACTGTGGAGAAGATTTGTAGCTCAGGTCAATAAGAACCAATCAACATCGAGGTGCACAGAACAAGTTATGAAACACATATGGAGAAATTCGAACACTTCACTTCTATCTGAAATTTGTGCTGATAATGTCGTTCAGAAGAACGATGAAAGCTCCACAACCAAACCACCTAGCTCAAAGAACAAAACTCTACCAAAATATGTAAAACTGTACTGAAGCAAATTTACGATACAATTTATTAACCTGTATGATAATATTCAAATAAAATGGTCAATGAAACCAGTTAAAAAATCGATAAATTCAAATGAAACCATTTTATCTATCTATTTAAGTTGTTTAGATTATGAACTTAGACACAATAAAATAGAGGAGATGAGTCATTAAAAAAATGAAGGTCATGCATAATAACAATCAGCATTGGGTTTGGAGGACATTTAGGTTGACACTATTTCTATTTGTTTGTGTCTTATATAGACATATGAATGTGACCTTGAATAAATAAAATATAAAGTTGATACAATCAGTATTTAGACAAAACTATTTGAGAAAGGGTAAAATAAATTTTTTCAAAAAAAAAAACAACAACCTAGTTTTTAGCAGGATAATAATCACGTTTATATAACATGTGAATTATGTTGTTAAACAATTCTGTCATAAAAGATTTTCTGAGATGGTAAAGAGGATATTTAACATAGTAAATATAGTAGAAAGTTAGTTCTCATCTCTAACTAGGATCGACTGAAGAACTAAGGATTTGAAATTAAAACTATGATGAATAAAGTGTAATTCTTGAATCTTTGATAGACGATTTGAATATTCATCTGGATCAAGGTCATGTTTATTGTATCGAAGCATAATTTTCTATACTCCATTGAATTACTGATTCATGTCATTGTCTTGAAAGCATTGAGTGTTATTATCTAGTGTCATGAAGATTGTTGAAGTTAAAATTTCACGTAATGCACCGACTGTGGTTAGATAACTAATGACAATCTGATGTAAATGAACAGTGAGGTACACGGACATACAAGGGATATATAACCCAGAATCCCCAGGCCTAATTTTGAACATCTGACCTTCAGACCACAGTTGGGGTTCAATAGTTCATATTTCTAACTTCAGTCAATTTGCGATATTTTGTGTCCATTATCCACTACTATTGATGATATTTGTATCACTTCTGATGGTTGAACGTCACTGGTTACGGCTTTTCTTTAGAACACTAGGAAGGTAAGAACACACGGCAATGTTCAAATATCCTGGTTCTGATACCCGATGGGGTTTAGGTTGTGCACTGTTAAGGATTTCCGTATTAGGATGAAACATCTACCCAGTACTTCATAGTTTTCACTGGTTGTTTAATTAAAATAAATTAGTGATATCAAACTGTAAACAGTGACTGTTTTGTTACTATCAACAATGTGAATTTATTGAATGAAATATTAAGTAGGTAATTACGGTTACAATTACCTTTAATCATACTCTTAATAACACATGTCCCAACCATTTCATCAAATGAGCTAGTTGGTATATGTGTTACGTATGTCCAACCACCTCCTACTTTGACGGACGATGATTGTTGGTGCAGTAGTAGATTATAAGAAGGCTAGGGATGACCAAATTGACAGTTGTTTTGAGTTCCAGATGTTCTTCAATTGTAGAACGTCATGCCGAACTAAGATGTGGCACCAGTTCATGAATTAATTGAAAACTGAACTATACCATGCTAATAGGTGTACACTACCTGATTAAAGTCCGTGTGGGTTATAGTAACCAGCAGTTATAAACTTTAGTTGATACGGCTCAGAATCGATTGTAATGGCTCAGGTGTGTTCACTCGTTGGTTTACTCTTGAACATGTGTCCTAAAATCACGTTACACCATACCACTTTGTGATGTCTTAAAATAATCTAATCTCCATGTATCAATGTGATAAGGCAATTTAAACCGAAATACATATTTGTCAAATCTTACGTTGCATACAATTAACTAATGACACCATCTGTATTTCTTTAGTCTAAACATTTTTATTAATGTCTGTGCATCTTAATTGGTGAGTATCTCTTATGAGAAGTTGAAATTTGGTTAATAGTTTTGATCTTACAAAATAAGTTTACTAATTATTAAGTCTTTTGAGTACATAGATAGGTTGTTAATTATTCCTAAAACCTATGTTATTAAACTCGACATTGACAATAACAAACTTGTGTGATTTTTTCTATATATTGTGTGTAAATTATCACCTACCCCATAGTGCACAATATTATTGAGAGGACACATTTGCTTTCTAAATAGGTTATGCTCAGTAAATATTCTAGATATGGTTGTTTCTATAATATAAAGAGTGTAATTAACTCAATTATTTAAAAAAAGGAATAGTAACGTGTTCTTACCAGTACACAACCATACATAATTAAATGTTCCAGGGTAACATTTTTTTCTTATTTCATAAACAATACTGTACAGTTTTGTTATTTATGACTGTGAACACAATTAAATTGATGTCAGTTAACCAGGGTAAGCAAAGAAGCATCAGAATAAGAAGGAATGAGATCACCAAAATTGTAAATATAATGTTGATTATTTTTAGTGACGTGCTGTCCAAAAGTTGGATAGTTACAATAAAGTTCAGTCTGTTTAACTATATGTGTATGATATCAGATGATTCTTTGCTACTGTTTATCACAAGAGTACCTAGAAATTTATCGATGAAGAATAATTGTTTAATTAACAAATGAATATATGGAATAACTCATTAGTATAGTTTGAATCATTAATCACTTTATTATATTGTATCACCTTTCACTTTTAAATGATAGTAACAAGAATAGTAAAATACATGGTGTTCTCGTTTACTGACTTGAAAGTTGGTATTACGTAATCAGGATGGTTATATTATCAAGTCAGGGTGAGCATTACTAATGCATGTAGTTTTAGTGTATCAGAGTGTTGGAGATAACTACCTAAACGATAGAATGTTTTTAAATCTTGATATTGTGGTTTGTTCTAAAGTATTTGTTATCATTAAGATAACTTTGGTGATCTATTTGATCAACTCTAAGAATCAAACAAAATGGTTATTTCTCAATGGTAATTGATGTTCATTAGTTTAATAAATGTACCTGCGCTGATTAGATTTTTATTAACGCTTAACAATAATCACAATAGTCATCACAACTTTATAAAGATCATACATTCAATATGTTCCCATTCTCACTATCCTATAACAGTCTTGATGTTAAAATAAAGTCAACAATCGAATGAGCTCCGTTACTTTTGTACAGAGTCCAATAGATTCTTTGCTTCAGTTTTTTTCTTTCTTAGTTGACAATGACAGAAACCTGTGATTTTTATAAAGCTTAAAAATCATTCAAAATCATATCCGGGCTCATTAGTTCAGAAGTTAAGCATTCGTGCTAGAGACCGAAGGCCGTGGGTTCGATTCCCGATAACGAGCTTGTGAGTGAGCACTGATAAGGAGTTACAAATTAAGAATAAACGGGGTCTAGTGTCTCTAGGTTTTAAGTGATTTTCTAGCATTGATGGGTTCATGATCTCAATAAAATTCAATAAGCTCCACAACCTGAAATGCCATTCTGTTTGTCTAACTTTCTTTCCGAGAATAAACCATTTTTAAATGTTATTAATTTGTGTGGCGTATGCTTGATCACTACTTGCCTCAACGTATGATGTTGTCTACGATGTTGAGTGTGAGATCAGAAGAAATCTATCAGTGGTAAGACCAATACGTGATATCAGTTCATGAAGTTAGTGATTGTTAGACTAAACAGTATAAGTAGGCACAGATTATCTGGTTGGGGTGTGCGTCATTATCGTAACCAATAGTTAGAGACTTTGGATGACATGACTCAGAATCAGTCGAAATGAAAAAGATGCATTCACTCTTATCTTTCATTGGATCTTGAGTTTTAAAATTATCTAATGCCTTCTTTCTTCTCGTATCATATTGTCGGTGTTTAGTGTTTTCTAACATCGTTGATATTGTTAGGACTTCTACCAATCTGACATTTTTTTGATAATTTAGTAACACTGTACTGACGCCATGTGAAATTATTGCCAGTTGGCTCAAAGTATAATCTGAACTTATCAGGAAATGAAAGAAAAAAGACTGTCAATTTTCAATAGAATAACTGAAAATCAATGATATTTTAATAGATTTATTCACTTTTAAGTAAACACACAAACACACTGAATAATATTTAGTTTATTTATATAGATTTATTGATATATGCATACCTACACCCCAACAGAGGTCATGATTATGAAACTATAAAGTTGGGGATAATCAATAATCGATATATTATGATTATTTGTTTTTCCATATATCAGGCTAACAGTTGTCACTATGACATGTACATGCATATGTAGCAACGTATGTATGTATGCATGTACGTATGTGTATATAAAGACACCATATCATTGATAAAAAGTCATGATCACTGTTGATAATTTGTAGAAAATTTCTATCATCATAATCTAACATGGAAAAAGGCTACTGATTCATTGTTTCATTCTAATTTGAAGTTATTTCAACAGTATTGACTTATTACTTCTTCAATGGAATGGAATTTTAAACTCTCATAACCTGTGGCAAACATGTAGCAGCTGTCATTCCTTTTCTGATAGAGTTTATAATCGCCTGTGATTTACGAATTGTCAATGACTAACATAGATTCACTTGACTTATCATAGTTTCGTCGTCATCAGTATAGAGAGCTTGTGTAGATTGTTGAATTTTCATAGTTTACATAACGGAATGACATTATTTTGACGAACATGGAAAACCCGAACTCGCTGGATGTGTCTCGTCCTGATAGGGGAGACCTTAGCTGTACATATCCGCGAGTGTGAGGAAGTTCCCCGCCAATGACATTGAGAGATCCTTAAATAATATCTCAAATTGATGAATGTTAGAAATCAGACCACTACATGGTGACTCAGTGGTATAAATGCTAAGATAACTTCACAAAACCCATGGTAGCATGATCTAGGTACACAACTGAAGAGTCTAATGCCAGGGTGAAACAACTGTCCAGTGCTTCCTGATTTCCAATGGTGGTATTGTTGAAATCAGCTCGTGATGTAAACTATAAAATTCCAGTCAGTGAATAAATTCAGATTAATGAAAGTGATGAATCCATGTAGTAAACAATTAATCCGTGTAGGTCTGTATCATCTAGATTATATTTAGGAAAGTATGAACAACTTCCATCGTTCGAAATTCCAAGCTTGAGGTTACCGGTAATTAACGTTTCAATGATTCATTAGCTAACATATTCCATGTGAAACTAAATTTATTCTTACAGAATAATATAAATTAATGGATAGTTATTATTTTTCTTCGTATAACTATGTAACTTATTATTTTTTCTTTATCTATGCGTATTCGTTCTTATTTATTTTGTGTGTAGATTATCGTCCCCGTCAAAAAATTCTTATTTGTGGATTACCAGATGATATATCCCCTTGTTTAGACTATGCAATGATAGCGAAACCTGGAATGATTGACTATTCATCTCTAATTATTGCCAGTACTGATGTAAGTTTACACAATTACTAAAATGCGTTTATTAATGAGCTTATTTATGAGTGATGATGAATTGTCGATAATGATTAGTGTGTTTTCGAGATGTCTTCACATTATGGAACACTTGCCATACTGTATTACAAGTGTGAACCACTCAGGCATCATCAATTTTTTGAACATTACATGTATGCCTTTCTAACAATTGTCAACTAACACGAAACTTAGACAGAATTTCCCGCCAACTATCTCCAACCAATTAACGGTTCAGTTCTATGTGCATCTTCTGTATATTACTACTAATCCCCATCAAGTGAAGTGTGATTTGTGGCTGTTATGGTTTATTCATATGGCGCACTAATTCCAAGTTGGCTATCTCAGTTAGTGACTTCATTTAATGGTTGACAGCCCAAGAAATATCTATAACCCTTTTACTAAGCTGATAACCATAACTCCAGAAAGATCGTACCATTTAAACTTAAGTCAGTCAGTTAGTCACAATGTAGAACCTAGCACGTATGTACATCGGTTCAAGTTGTCATATCCCATTGGCACACAGAGATGAAATTGTCAAATCAAACTCCATAATAGTAGAGGTAGTCACAGTATCAGTGGAAATAGAAAATATTACTCACTGAACATACAACTCGACAAGAAAATATAAATTAGTGAAATAAAAACACAAAAAGTTATGATGAATTCACAACTCAGAGTCTGAGGAAAGACACAGAATGCATCCATCTGCACCACTGCGAACGATTTTGAGCCATACCATTCAAAACCTCTGACCACTGGTTATGATGATGACGTGAACCGCAACCAGGTAGTATACTGCTACTGTCATTACTCAGTTCAATTGTCATCGACTTGATGGACTGATGTAATGTTTTGATTTGGCTTCCCCTAACTTCCTTATAGTTCATTCCTACACCAAACAACATCACTCATCGAAGTGGACAGTGCTTAGGCACACGTAACGCACACCTCAAACACCTCAGTTGATGAGGTTCTGCTACCTCATCAGTCGACTTGCTATCTTTACCTAGTACCCTATTCCTAACCCAGACACTGTTTACTCCATGGTCCAAAAATACATGATCAATGCTTCGAAGACAGCTATGATCTCATGCTAGTAACCTGTGAATACCTACTGTTCTTAATGACCAGGTTTCCCATCCGTAAAATAGAACGGAGCAAACTGCTGTGCAGTAAATTCATCGTTTGGTTGTCAGACAGTTATCTCGCCTACGCCACAAGTTGCCAAAAGTCGATCGAATCTTCTTAATCCGTTCTTAGATTTTGTCAGACTTTCAAACTCATGTGGTTGTAGACGTGAAATATAAAATCATAACGTCCTGAAGTTATGCATAATAATCATTCAACTGATTGATCCACACGTAATCAATAACATTGTAGTTTATTAGTCGTTGAGAGCAACAGTACAATCTTAATGAAATTTTTTTCCACATCTAATGTTATCAAAGGAGATTCACTTTATCCAATTGTCGAGACATCCTAAAATTTATTTCTATTCAAATGATTTAGCATGAAATTTTCCCTTTCAACAAATGTAACATCATTATCAACTAAAATTTTATCCATATTATGCACTCAGATTGCATGATCAGTGAATTCAACAAACTATGAGACAGATGCCACTTGATATTTATTTAGCTTCATGCATTCTAATGCATTTAAATCACATGGACAACTATCAGTTAGGTACCGACACTTATGTATAGATCTATGAGGAGGTGCATCACGATATACAGTCACGTTTTCACTTTTCTAACTATTTTTTTTCACATATATATCACTGAAAAATTTGTAATGAATAAACTCATGAATGGTGTGAAAAATATAGCGAAATAAAATATAATTTGTCAGAAAAAAATAAGGTAATTAAATATTACACCAATGTGTATTATCATTGCCACCAACACATGAAGAGACAAATCATGTAAATTAATGATCACCGATTAGTTTCTAAGTATGTTTAGATGCATGTAGGTAGGTAAGCAGGTAGGTAAGTAGATTGGTTGGTTTATGCATTCCACTAATCGACTCTATTTTTAATTGGTATTTCAAACTTCTCTCGACATCTGAAACTTGTGTAACCTATATATGACTATTACATTTTGTAATGCTTAATTATTGATTAGAGACATGAGTATAGTCAAACAGATCAAATCGGTTTAGAAACAGTACAAATTTTTCTGTTGTACGAAAAAGATCTCTTCTGTTGATAGCCTATGATGAATCGAAAATCACGTATTTTATTGTTATACTTTAGAATTTCTCACTAAGGTGAATGAACACAATTTTGGTGAAGTTTCAGTCTCTGAGTTGTATGGTTTAATCACCAAGCTTTTTCATCGACTCATTTAAAAATAAATAACTATGAAGTGAATAATTAAGTCAATTTAGGAGGAAACAATGAGAATTAATGTGCAGATAATGACAAGTGGCAACAACCAATCAAATATAGTGTTAATAAAATGACCTCTTTGTTATATTAGTATCGGGAATTTGTGAAGATTGTAGTATTTTCACCGTTATAATCACTAACTGATCTTAGCCAAACCACCATTGGAAACCTAGAAACACTGGATGTCCGTTTTATCCTAATATGAGACTATTCGTCCGAAGTGTGCACCCACGACTTCGCACGTGGAAATCAAACGGCTAACCATTAGACCACTGAGCTGACATCCAACGATGTTAGTGTCTAACTTCGAATAACTCACTTCTATCTAAATTTTGTGTTAATGATGTTGTTTAGGAAGACATTTAAGGATTCATGATTAAGCTACCGAGCTAAGACAGCACAACACCGACACCAAAATCATCCAACTGAGCTGCGAATCTTCTCCACTATACTTGAATTTATAAAGATAAGTAATTCAACAGTTAAGTGCGAATTCAATGATTAACTTCAATAAATTTTATGATATTGATACAAACATCATTCTATGTTATCACGTCGAGTAACTGCGCTTCATTTTTGACTTAAGTTCTTAAGCAAAATGATAACTTTGCCATCAGATGGGGGAGAACACACAACATAAAAGCTAGCTAGAACTAGTAAATAACAGATGATTTCTATTTAAAATTTAATGTATTCCTGAGAAAAATTAGTTTTAATCAAATACTGATAAATGTTAATCCACTTCAGAATTCGATATGCCTTATCAACCATGACAATGGATAATTAACATTCGTGTTACATTCGATTATGTCAAACTAACCGGGTATTTTATAATTTACGTCACGGACTGACATTACTTAAATGTTACCAGTGGAAGCCAGGAGGCAGTGTATGGGTGTTTTGTACCTGATATGGGACTCTTCGGCTGTGTACATCCACGACTCCACTGGGGACTGAACTCAGGACCTTCGGGTCTCGAAGTGAATCTCTAACCTTCAGGACATTGAGTCAACATTCAATCAAAACCATACTTGGCTGTTCTGGGTTTGGTCTGCATTGGGCGTCTCATACAAAGACAAAATACTGTGAGATTCATCCTGGTATGTGACGGTTGTCTTACTAAGATATATCCGTGGTAAAAACTATAAGATTCAATAATCTCCAAGATCTTTTCATTAAACTGTCATGATACGAAAGTAATACTGAATATTATTGTGTAAGTTAATGCAGTTCCGTTGTTCATGATAAATCAGTCAAAAAAGTAATGTTTCGATTACTTAATTCTGTCTTATTTAAAGATTTTCATCAAAAAAGAGTAAATATCTACTTATCTACCTGTCAAGGCATCGGTTCAAGGTGTCTATACACCAACAATGTTTAGTACAATTTGATTAGGCTATTTAAATCTTGGTATATTTAGAGTTATTTGAAAAAAACAAACAATTTAACGGAATATATCATACGTTCAAATATATAACGATAATCGTTATCGAATAACGAAACATATATCATTTTGTATTAATCTCATAAGTATTTCGCTTCGAATAAAAAAAAACAATGACACCATGTGAAAATGCAAATTCTTTAACAATATATATCTAATCTACTAGGTCACTCATATGACTATCTCATCAATAAATACATTTAGATAATATAATCATACCAAAATATATCTATTAGACATAGGTAAATATTCATGTTAAGATAGAAAGTGAATCGTGATTAGGATACAAAACGATATAATGACAGTTACACCATGGGATCAGACACCTCCAAATGCCCTGGTACGGCCAAGGGTGGGGAGAGTTCGTTCTCCTCGAAATGCTCACACACGGCCATGCGTGTACAGCTACTGTCAGGGAAGTCCTACTCACTGCCTTCTCGTGGCGAGGGTGTTGTTTACGAAATTGAGAGGACGAAAAGCGAATGTCCGGCACTTCAAACGGGTTGGTGAACACGGAGAGTTCACCTAGGAGAGTTGGAAAACCCTGATTCCAAACCAGTGGTGCACATGGGCTCCAGGGTCCTGAAGGAACAAATGGCGTATGAACTTGTTGTTGGTCATCGGCTACCATGAGACTACATCTCCTAAAGTTGCTCCACTGCCTTGTGGATTAATACTTTAGGTCGAAGGCTCCGGGTGTGGCCCCCTAGGAGAACCACCTGCTTCGGTCTGGGCACCCAGGGAGTATCATAGCCCACACACAAATCAAGTGACTTGTGTGGCTTATATGTATTTGATGACCCTTTGTACCAATATTTGTGTTCATATAAATAAATAAATATAAAATCAAATGATTTCTAATCCCTTCTACTTAATACTGTAATTTATTCTATTGTTTATTACTTCGTTAAATAACTATTTCGTTCGAAATTTCTCGATAGTTCCATAGATATTTATTACAGTAAACATGTTGAGCATTAGTCTTGCTATGAAATAACTTATCCCTATATATTCGTAATCAGCCAATTAGTGAATAATTCTCAATAGTTATATCAGTATGATGGTGAATCATCGATTGGGCAACAATTGGAGTAACATTCTATTCTTGAAGTGCGTTGTGATGTAACACATTGTATTGTAACATGTCATAGTAATAAAACCCAGACATAATCTTGATGTAAATCGAAGATAAATTGTCAGCTTCATTGTGACCAATAATCAATATACCAATGAAATCATTTAGTTATACTAGTTGGGTAATTTTTTTGATAAACAATACTCTAATAACAAGATTTTTTCATAAATTCATTCGTGAACGATAATGAAGAACTGTTATATAGCCCTGACAAAAGATAAATGTAACTCATTAACGAAACAAAATCACTTCTATACTATTTGAAAAATTACATAAATATATTATCCTACAGCCCCTTCAAGATATTACGTGACAAGATCTCTTATCAGAACATCGATTTATACGACCTTAGCCCTATGCCAAACCAATAACGCGTTAACCAACACGAACAGCCTAGAGACAACTCAGTTCTTATCGGTTCTTCTAGCCTTGTCCTGCCCATTCAGTCCAGAACACAATCTCAGCTACTACTTCAAGAATCATATATTTCAGATATACACAGTTTATGTACAAGCAAATCAGACCACATCACACCAGAAAATAAAAAGTGACAATTATACAAGATCAAACTAAAAATATCTGTGAGTGTGAGATTGGGAATGACTTAAGAATAGTAAATCGTATCGCAATAGCCAATAGGTAGAATGAAATGAATGCGAATATATATAATTCTCTCGTACTGTTTATCTGAACAAGATTACGATTATTTATATAAATTTCAGTATGATAAATACATATATTTCCATACATTTCTCAAAAAGAAACCATGTGATTTGAACTTTTTTTAAGAGGCTAGAAACAGTGATACAGTGGGTGGTACATATTAAATTTTTAGGTAATAATATGTATATGCATAGATTATCATAAGCAAATTACGTGCTTACACAAATAGCAATGTTATGTTATTTTTATTTATTCTAATTCAATCATGAATCCATGACTGGATTATGTTTGGGTACTTTAACAACATTCATTGTATTTATTTTCGTAGTTATCACAGAGTGATATTTTTTTATTACGATCTAGTGTTCTGTTAACAATTGCTACCTAAATTGTAATAAGTAGTTATTTAAATGGTAATTTTTAGGTTGTGGAGAGGGAGGACAATAATAGCTTATCGCTAATACACTGAGTTAAAAGATCAATATATTCCACTATGTGGACCAACTTTCATTCTCATTCTTAGATAGACATATTCATCTTAATGTTGTTGAGTTCTCTAACATAAGTAGTTTAACTGAGGAACTTTCTTTACCGTTTTCGACATCATCGAGGCTTAATTCATGTAGAAATGAACTTCTTTTGTAGGTAATAAAAAAACCAATCACAAGGAAAACCGTAAGAGTGAACTAATTTAACTCTATTGAAATAACTAAGAGGCTCACTTCTGTAAGAAGTAAATACCGATAATGTTATTCAGAATGACAATAAAATTTTCGTAATTAATTCATCCAGCTGATAGAAACTGAATAACATCAAAAGTATCCAAATGAGCTGCAAGTTGTCTTCACCAATTTAGATATCTTCATTTCCATCTATGAAAAAGAGTGGTTTAGTGGTTTAAGAGTAACTGCCTATTCGATATTTGGTTGTAAGTCCAAACACCAACCCATATAACTTTGTAAGCAAAGATAGATGGTGACTAGCAGTGGAATCCATGACGTGCGTTTCGTTCTGTCTGTGACTCGTCAGCTGGACGTACCTGCATCCGAGTTGATGGTCACTCCGGTGCTCGAACCCAGTACCGTACGCTTCAAACACATCACGGTATCTACTTAGTTAATGAGTCCAGATAGTCACTAGCTTATACAGTGGGGTGAAGTTTAAATTCACTTTTGTATTGCTTGCTTGAATCTTCTCACTGATGTTTAGGACTGCAACTGATCAGTCTCTTATTGGTATATGTGCATCCTGTAGGGATTGCCTTTGGTTTGGTCATGTATAAACAAATCAACTTTTAGTTATCTATCTTAGTTATATTGAAACTCTGAAACGAACAATTTTTTCGTAACTTAATAATCATTGGATAGTAGTCTACAATAATTTAGAGTCACTAGTTGAACGGCTGTAAAAGTTAATTGGTATTGTATTTCTCAAATTATATTTTTCAGTGTTTAAAGTGTTCACTAGTAGTAAATTATACATTTCTCAATAATTTTAAATCATTGTGACTAATAATGAACATAATTAATGGGATAAAGGTAGCATAGACTGTACAAAACGATGACTGATTGAACTATTCACTTATTTACATATCCTTTTTTCAGTGTAAATACTTGTTAGATTTTATAGTTTACATCATACACTAGATTTAGTTAGATAACCGTCGGAAACTAAGAAGTACTGGACAAGTAAGAGTTATTGGCAGATCATAGATTCACAATTCCATAGGGGATTGAACTTGAAACCTTTAGATCTCGATACAAGAAATTACTCGTAATGTAAACTATAAAACCTAACAATCTTCACACTTTCTCCCCCCTCTCTGCACCAATACTTATTGGACTGTCATTTAATTTTACATCTAGAGAATTGTGGTCTATTTCGGTATTAGTATTACTCTTATAATAGACCTAGTCCCAAAATTGTAGATTTGTTATGATGCGACTACCTAATCTATAAGATCTTACGTGGTAGTCACGTCATAGTTTATACTGACTCGTCCTATCGTGACGATCAGCAATATGCCGTTTAACACTTCTGAAGAACATATTTGGGCTGGGTAGAGACTAATTTATTCAATATAAAAAAAACGAGAGGTTACAGAGAGTGATCACGCCTGCATGACCGAGTCATGTCTCAGAGTGTTACATGTTGAATGTAAATCTTTTCAGTAATTATATGCTCGGCTTCAAAGATTGTGTGCTTAGGAACTAATATCACACCTTATCTGTTTTAAATTGTTTCATGTACTTTTTCATCTTCCTTATTTACTTTTTGTTATTCGCTATGTAGATTGACGAATTAATTGTAAATTATTTTGGAAAAATTAAAATTCATCTTGTCAATTGGGATGAAACAGACTACGAAGAGATGTTAATTGAACGTGTACGACCGAGATCAGATAATTTTGTTATTCCGTTAGTGATTGAATTTCAACCAACTATTAGACGAATGAAACGAATTAGAGAATTATTAGAAAAGGTAAGAAATAATAATATGATAGATAATGGAGTATTTAAAGATTACATACTTTCTCTCTTTGTTTGTGTGTGTCCCTTGATTATGATTAACAAAATTTGATGTTTTGTGTTCTTACGAATAGCTAAATAAGAGATAAATTTGAATAGAGGTTAGTTCTCCCGTGGATTACATCGATAACATGAACTTTTGTCTAAATGATAATATCAGGATAATCGTGTTAGAATGTACACATGCTAAGAGCAACTGATCAATTGAAATCTTTGATATTAACGATGGGAAAATATTAAATTTTTACCAATTCACTGCATACTGATCTTAGAAGTTAATGACTGTTTTAACTGAATAGTTTCATGGGTAAAACATTTGGTTCAAGTTGGAATGAGTGACCACTATTACATTACGCTGTAGGTACATCCAACTGACAATTCTCAAACAGGACGGACTGTATATCCTAGATTCAACTGGTAACCTCAATCTATCTATTCTATAACATTATGACAATTGAAAGTTTTTGTATATAATGCAGAAATGTGTTATTTTCTTTGGAATTAAGTAATAAAACCGTCATTATCATCATGATTTACATTAACGTGTACTTAGGTTGGCATTTTATAAGAAGCACAAGATGAGTTGTGTATGTAGCTCTTGTTCTCTCTCTCTCGTTTGTTTTTTTCAAAGAATAAATTTTTGGTGCTAATTATAAACACGAATAGAATAAACACCTTATTGTTAAAAATTCTTATAACTCAAAGAAAATTAACCGTAAACACAAGAATGAAATATGTGTTCAACTATGTGATGTATTGGAGTTTGCCTTATCTCTTTCTGTTTCCTCATTGAGATTCAATAAACTTTGGAGAAAAACAGAATGATACATTTTTTCCCCATTTAATTGGTGCCAATATATATATATATATATACTGTTATTTTTTAATCACTAGTAGGGGAGGGTTGATGTAGACCAATAATAAAGGTATGTAAATTAAATTCACACATAGACTAATCACGACTAGTGTGTAGTGAAAATACGTGATCATTTGGATCACAGGATGTGTGTGTGAGTAAAAAGCGATATATATATATATAATATTGTCAGCTTAAATTCAATAGATATTTTCTCTTAATTTATGGTTAGTTATACAGTATGAAGGATATTAAAGTCTATTACAAGTTGTGAATGATATCCTGCTTTATTTTGTAGTTCATTAGAAAATTAACACAGGTTATTGATTCATTGTGAACTGTAGATTTATCAGCTAGTAAAGTCTGTGTTAGTTCTTTCTAGACGATCATAAAATATACACGACTAGTTTAAGCTCGGATACTGTTACATTACATCAGTTGCAATTAAGGTTTTTACAACTACAGAGAAAATAGGAACCAACTATTATAATCTGCCTGGAATAATTTTGAAAATTGTCACATCTTTTATTGTTACTGTATCGATTCAAGTTGTTGCATACTTCTAACGTGCAAACAGAAAGGAAATAATTTGCTTAGAAACAAAACACAATTCATTTGTATCAGCCTAATTAGCGTTATCATCTGTAAATTCCTAATGAACAATGTCATATATTTTAATAATTAATAAAGCAATGTACATTCGTAGATGCGCACTGCTGAGGAGTCCCATAGTAGGACGAAAAGGCTGTTCAGTGCTTCCAGGTTTTCCATGGTGGTCTAGCTTTAACTGACTCATGATTTCAATCGGTGAAAAATATATAAAACTTATTGGTGTGTGTATTTTCTCACTAACAATTCTGGTATCTATCATAGTTATATTATTTTCATTATAAACTTAACGATCCATCTTAAATGAACGTTGATACCAAATTCTACATACATTTTAAGTAGTTCACAATAAAAACAGACGTGTTTCTACGTGAAAAATATTATGTTAAACACCACATACATACATATATACGTCTGGTATGGTTTCCAAAGTACAGGATCAATAACAAATATAAAGTGAGTTAGTTAAGAACAAAAATCAAGGTCTCAAGACTGTCTGATGAATTACTGAACATAATTTTAGTGCTCATTCAATACTTAACAACCGCTTGTGTCATTCACATAAGAACTATCCTGTTACAAATGGATACTTCAAGCTGATAGACGGGAACACATATAAATTTTGTTGGCTAAAATGTGAAACATGGATATAAAAGTGCTGGGAAATGTATTATTTTCCAAAAATCGCCAAAAGCGAGATTTTAAAAAAGAAATAATCACTACTTGGAATTTTAAAATCACGGTTTTGGCATTGGAACAGGCTTTATGGAATTATTATCCTGGTTATCTAATACTTGAGGACAATGTTGAAGAAGATCAAAACAATTTTCCATGTATCACTGTCAATCAAACCAAGGGAACAAATCTTTTGTTTCCTTTCATCTTTTCAATAGTTATCGGGTAAGGACTGAATTAAGAGTTATTAGTACAAGTTCGGCTGAAAAACATTTGTGTCGGGTTCACTCATCTTGTTACATTCTCTCATTAATACTTCGATTTATATATCTGGTATCATTCATAACAAAATAGCCCATCTCAAATATATGTAGTATGAACTGTAGAATAGGGAAATGATTATAGTAAGACTTTTTACTTGTTATCTTGGGAGATTTGTCCTCTGAGCTCGATGGTCTGGTTGTGAAGCTTTCATTGTTCTTTTGAACAACACCACCAGAGCCTGAAATGTGTGCTGCTGATGTTGTTCAAAACAACGATGAAAGCTCCACGACCAAACCATCCAGCTCAGAGAACAAAACACCAAAATCATCCAACTGAGCAACAAATCTCCGCCATATTTGTTATTGTATATTATCACAAAAAATTACTCGTTCTATACTTTTCTCTCTCTTTAATCCATAACAGAATGGTACATTAGTAATACCAAGTGAGAATCCTGAATGGCGGATACGATATACAAATTTAATGAATAGTTTTACAGAAAACAATGGGACACTCATTAAATTAGCTGAAAATGTTTTCGACGCTGGATTTACACGTCAAATTGATCATTTACTTGGGAGAAGACATATGCATTCACGTATCTATTTCGGCTATGAAAAACCAATTGAATCACCACAGAAATTTATTGACTAAACGGAAACGAAACACCATATATATAAAAATTCCATTACAGCTCCCGATGAATATATCAATGGCATACTAATCCTTATCCAATAAGATATAAACAACTTTATTCTCATATGCCTGTTCGCCTTTCACAATCTATTCTCATTTTTTTTGTATAATCGACCACATCTTTACTGTATCTTGCTCATTCTTAATTGTTATTGTGTATAAAATTAATCTAACTACAAAAGAATAACACTCAATTTACTTTATTTGCATGAAGAAAAACAGAATACTCGGTAGCACTATCAAATTAAAAGCCGAGATAATGGCAGGGACTTGAATAATGATGAAATAATATAAGGCTGTAAAAAGACAAACTTTTTCAATTATTTAGATATATACTGCTTATATGTATATATCATTCTCCACCTGTCTATATACTGTACACACTTTATAGCAAATGTGCATATTACTTATACACTAGCAAGTAGCTTATTTCTTATATATAAAATTATTTTTTACATTACAAATAACATGATACGCACTCATTCCATAAACACATATATACAGAAATAGTTATGTATGTATGTGAAAAAGAACACAGGAAAAGACAATGTCTTTCGTTATTTCATTTAAATTGTATTTTTTGTTCGGAAATTATTTAATTCATCGGAGATATTGTCTTCATCATCATCATTATCATCCTCATCATCATCACCACCATGATTATTATTATTATAATCACCGTCACCATCGTCTTCTGTGTAGCATTGTTCCTTTTTTATCTTGATGTCTATATGGTTTTCGAGTTTTTTAAATTGATTTATACTGTCTGTTAGTTTTTTCTTTAATCGCATTTCGTATAAATCTTTTTCATTTTCTAATTGTTTGATTTTTTCCCATTTCATTCTAAATTTGGTAGAAATAAAAAAACCTGGATAAGTAGTTAGTAGATGTTAAAAAGTTGTGAGTTCAAAGAAATTTCACTCATGAATCTGTTTATCTGAATAAACAGACGAAAATAAGAAAAAAACAGTGGATTAATCTCGGAACCAATACAAATGATAAACTATTGACCTTTTCACAGTCAATCAGTTATAAACAACCTGAAGTAGGATTTAATTTACCAGACTACATCAATGAGTACAGAAAACAAATAGTACTAATGATGGTGAGAATTAAACACAAATGGATACAATTACGGAATAATTAGTGTGAAATAGAATTAATATTTGAAGGGAGATAAAAAAAAGTGAATGTATATATGATCTTGTGATCGATTTTGAGTTACATAGGTTTTCTAGCATAGATCACAGAGTACAGGTTGGAATTCAATTGATAAATTTGTATATTTTAACGTGATTCAGTTCAATGGCTTCATGGATTAATTGTATGTTTACGTTTGATCACCCCTAGGCCTGTCTTATTCCGACCTACTTCTCTTGTAGCTACGAACTCACATCAGAGAAGTCAGTAGCTGAAGATAAGCAATACATGCTACATCTACTTAGGTCAATATCTACATTCTCATCAACTGACTTATCACTTTTTAACTATAACTACGGTCCCAACTTGACATTAGTAAATTCATGCTTCCATTATATGTGAGCATGTTTCGAAGTTATCTACAATCTGTTGGAAAATGCACTAGCCCACTAAAGATTAGACTCAAATTAGTCGAGATAGGCTGTTATTAATATTCAAACCGCTTGCATGCAAATCAGCAATAACAAATTCGGCCACATCTACAATGACTAACGCTTAAGAATACCCTGAAAAATCCTATAAATACACTTCCTTCCCATAAGTAATCGTCATTTTGAATGGCAGTAAAGCGTCTCCTTTCTTATATCTCTTCAATAATTGGGTACTGGGTTAAGAGTAATGGGGGGGAGCAGTGAAAGTTTAGTTGAGGGTTATTTTGCGTTTTATCCACTGTTGAGTTGTTATTCCGAATATGATCAGACACGAGAAATCTAACCATATTGTCTGCCTCCAAAATTAGTTTTATCGGTTAAAAATTATAAACAACTAATGGCTTCAGGAAATATTCACTCTTAAATAGACAGAAATATTACCTGTGCTACAGGTAGCCTAACATGACTGAAACCCATAATTTAGACAGGATTTAGATAAAATATGTCAGTTAAATAAATGAATAAGAATGACATAACATATAGTATAAATCAGAAAACATTGACATGACTCTGTCCGATGAGAACACCAACGATTAACGATAATAGAGTTCTATGTTCCGAAATGACACAAGTCATCCAAAATAAACAAAAGCTAAGAGTACTTAGACGGATAAATGGGTAAGAAATATTGTCATATTGTGATAACAGTTACTAAACACCTCTGTGGAATGTCGTTTCATTTGTATAACAAGTACATTATAATGTATAAATAAAAATAATATATTTGTAATATCCCAATGAGTAGAAAATTGGATTTTTCTGACGTTTCGTGGCTTAGTGTAAGTCACTTCTTTAGAGAATAAATAACCAAATTAAATTAATTCAAGTTTAAATAGTACAACGGAACAATCAATCATTGTTCCGTTGTACTATTTAAACTTGAATTAATTTAATTTGGTTATTTATTCTCTAAAGAAGTGACTTACACTAAGCCACGAAACGTCAGAAAAATCCAATTTTCTACTCATTGGGATATTACAAATATATTATTTTTATTTATAACAATCAACTCAATGCTCAATTTATTCGAAATTATCAAATCAAACCTTGGTAATGACACCTACATTATAATGTAGTCGATAACATGATTAACCTAAGAGATTTCATGATCTCTGTTTTGTTGAGGTCCCTCAAACCTAATGAAATCAAACAATAAGTTAGTCGATTGTTTGCTAAGACACCAAGTGAACTAAACTAAATGCAAATTAATGACAAAAAATATGTATTTCTACACTTTTAATCAGTAATCGATCTATTATTAGTCGTACATAGAGTTATTAAAAAGGATCTACTTGAAGAGAGGAAACTTTTGAAAATGTACTTAGGTGTTGACTCATCATAGTGTTTATGGTTAAGATGTGCTACGTGTGCCTAACCACTGTCCACTTCGATGAGTGATGTTGTTTGGTGTAGGAATGAACTATAAGGAAGTTAGGGGCAGCCAAATCAAAACATTACATCAGTCCATCAAGTCGATGACAATTGAACTGAGTAATGACAGTAGCAGTATACTACCTGGTTGCGGTTCACGTCATCATCATAACCAGTGGTCAGAGGTTTTGAATGATATGGCTCAAAATCGTTCGCAGTGGTGCAGATGGATGCATTCTGTGTCTTTCCTCAGACTCTGAGTTGTGAATTCATCATAACTTTTTGTGTTTTTATTTCACTAATTTATATTTTCTTGTCGAGTTGTATGTTCAGTGAGTAATATTTTCTATTTCCACTGATACTGTTACTACCTCTACTATTATGGAGTTTGGTCTGACAATTTCATCTCTGTGTGCCAATGGGATATGACAACTTGAACCGATGTATATACGTGCCAGGTTTTATGTTACAAGTAACTGAATGGCTTAGCATTTATGTACTAAAGCGAAGTCAGTGTTTTCTTTTTTCGAAACACTTCAATTCATCCCATAAAATTCTTTTGTAATGACGCTATAGGTGACTTTCTTTATGAGGTTATAATCATTAATTATTATGTTGAGACTTTGGACTACGTTGTTTGAAAGACAAGATAAATTATTCATTTAAAGTGAATGAATCTCTTGATAAATTTTAAATGAACCGATTTACAATAGTGGTTACATATATTTGGATATTTGATATATAAAATCAAGGGTCGTTTATGAATTGTATCTCTAGTATCACTTGAGTCAATACTCACCAAACGATAATGGATTCAAGAAAAACAAACCTCATGAATTGTAACTACTTATTAGTAATATAAAGGATTTAAAGAAAAACAAGTAGGTCATGACACTTGTAATAGATTGTTTGGTGATATTGTGGTGTATGTAACGCCAATCGGAAGTGGAAATCATGACAGTAGAAGGTTAAGAAGATCAAGTTGGAGAGGGTGAAAAGAGAAATAGAAAGGAATTGCAATTAGGAAGAATCATACAGAATGTGAAGGACAAATGATAGAAATCTGCAAATGAAGTATTCAATGTATGGTTCTCATATTTTACCAAGATATTCTATAATTTCGTATTAAAATACAGTTGGCTGTCTCCACCTGTATTCTCGTTCACAAATATATGACTCGGAATCAATTATAATAGCTCAGATGAATTTTCTATTTCTCTCCTCTTATATCATGAATTAAAAATTATTTCATACTCTTCATTCGGTGAATTTACTCCTTCTTCTCGGATCTCTTGTTTATGCCGAACGTTTTTTATTAACTTTGATATTTTCACTATTTCTACTACCCTGACATTTATTTTCATAATTTCATTTCACTATGCTAACGTAGTGTGGTGGCAACTTAAACCAGTGCACATAAGTACCACGCATGACTGATCCATGGAATCTGATCTTTTCGAAAGGTAGAATAACTATTTAGTATTAAATGTCACCAAACAGAAATGTGATCCGTTAGAAATCAGGGTACATTATGGTTTGATCTTAACAGATTTTGGTAACAGATAACGTGAAAATCTGTGATAAACTATGAAATATATTGTTTAAAAAAGGAAATTTAGAGACCCAGGTGCTATTACTTAACACGTTTCAAAAAATATAATAACTTCTGATAAGCGATAGTAACCGGTTGCCAAAATTGAAGTACGCGGGGTGGGGTTCAGACCTGAGACTTAATGATTAAACACCGAATACTTCAATCGCAGAGCCATTCACCTGCTTGTGGAGTCACGATCAGAGAAAATGGTCGTAAATTGACGATCTCAGTCATTAGTCATCAACAACATAGGACCAGGCACATATATGCATCGGTCCAATTCGCCATACATCATTAACACAAGATGAACACAAAATTCATAGAAGTTACTTCACTGGCCGCAATGTATAAAAAAAGATTGCATATAAGGATGTGATACAGAGAGAAAGAACTAGTTCGTAGAAACGAAAGGCAAAAAGTAATTTTAATCTCATAATGTAAGGGAAGATAGAGAGTGTATACACCGACGCCATTGTGATCAGATCTCAGTCATGTCAACCAGAATCTCCAATCACTGGTTACCATAGTCACATGGAACCCAACCAAGTAGTCTCCATCTACAAATATGGCTCAGACCAGAAGTTAGTGACTTCAAGCACTGATGCAATGACTTCAAGCACTGATGCCACGTTTTGGTTTGGCCGCCCCTAACTTTCAACAATACCAAGCACCAGTTAGCATTTCACGTCGTGGAATCGGTGTTCAGGCATACGTAACACGTCGCCCAACCATCTCAGTCGATGAAGATTTACAACCTCACCAACTGATTTACCATCATTCCGTAATATCCTATGTCTAGCCTCACTATTACTTACCCGGTGATCCCAGCAGATGCCAGAAATATTTCTAAGACATCTGTGGTCAAATACTAGTAGCTTACGAATACCTTCTACTCTTAATGGCCGTGTTTCGCTGCCGTAAAGTAAAACAGAACGAACTGCCGCACAGTATACCCGTCCATTAATTGATAGACGGATATTTCGCCTCCGCCATAGGTGACGCAAGTTGGCAAAAGCCAAACGAGCTTTTCGAATCCGTGCTGAGATTTCGGCAGGTACCAACCCATTACTGCTGATCAGGTTTCTAAGGTAAGTGAAGTTGTCGACGCATTCGACTACTTCACTCGCTATCCTTAGTTCAGGTGTTGACGCAGACCAGTCCTGAAGCAGCAACTTGCGTTTAGAGGGGAGGAAACACGTTTCAAACATTTTGGCATTGTTGCTTAGTGCTACCAAAAGACTGCATTTTATCAGCGTCTTCACCAAACAGGACTATGTCATCTCTCCAGCGATGACTAATAACGTTTAATTAACTTTTTCTAAGAAATAATTCAACAAATGCAATTTTTGTTGTGAAAACAAGTTGGCTTACATTTGTTCATTTATTTCAGCCAAATTTCGTTCAGATACTGATGCTTCACTTTCTTTTTCCATGATTTCTTCTGAGTGCTGAGAAAATATTCACTTATTAGTAGTTAAGGTAATCAATAATAATAATAATAATAATAATAATAATAATAATAATAATAATAATAATAATAATAATAATAATAATAATAATAATAATAGAAATATTCAGTTCTTGATACGTATTAAAAGTTGAAGCATGCGAATATAGTTTTATTAAGTTTTTTTGTCTCTCGTAACTTAGATCAGAAGAAGGAAGGGGATTTCGATTGTGAACAAGGTGACCTCGAGTGTTGTTAGAGGTATGAGGGGGGTTGTTACTTCCCGATTGTCCACACACTGAAAAAATGCTTTTTCTTGAGAAATCTGAACAATAAATTTGGTTAAGGATGGTCTTGACGACCCGAAAGTGTGGCTGGATTGATTAATGGAGAGCTATCTGGGGCAGACAGCATTGGTCGTTTTTAAGTAGTTCTTGATGCGTTAACCATAAGACCTTATGTTATATCCGAGCGAAGATTAAATCACGAGTAACTTCTGAAATATATTAATTGAATAATATTATCTATACATTCTCATGGTATAAATATTCAGTAACTAGATTATGTATATCTATATTCCCCTTGTTATAAGCTTTATTTTGACCTATAATTTATTATTGTACGATTTACTGTTCTGAAGCTATGCTCAGTTTATTAACTACTGCCTCCCACGTTCACAACCACTTTTTGGCTTTATTGTGTACAAATGTTATTTCCTATTTTATGGTGCGTTGAGGTCTGTTTGGTTGATATATAAACCCAGTATGTCTAAAATAAATGATTCGATTCGCATAGTGGAAGCTGGTATTGGTGTTCTCGACTCAAGTGGACGGGCTAGGCGGACATAGGACCAATAAGGACGCTAGGCTGCTCATACCGGTCGAACGTCATTGGTTTGGCACAGTGCTAAGATTGTATAGGTCGTATTTTGATTGGTGGATGAACCACGTGATAAAAAGCCGGACATAAAGTCACAACACCTTACATCCGGTAAAGCAAATCCATGAGGCAAGCTAAAATTTGCTATTTTAAGGCTGGAATTTTCTAAACCCTTCTTTCCGTCATGAGAAGGCAGAATCGTTGCAGATGCTTGTTATCTGAAGAAAACATCTTACACTGTGCTACTATACCGCTGGCAGTACGATTTTATCATCGGGTCCGAATTTATTGCCTTTAATCTCACATGGTAAGATCTGAAGGAGTGTTCAACTTAATATAGTTCGATCGGGTTATTACGATGTCCAAGCCCGACCACTACAGCAAGGTAGCAAATATGGTAGGGCAATCAACAGAAAGGTGTACTTGAATTATTTTCTTAACTCAGCACAGTTTCATGTATTTAGCTTTGACCTACAGTTCCTCATGTGAAGAACGGTAAGAGAAATCACTTCCTATTGCTACGTATGGACAGCCACCTCCTACTTCGATGCATAATGTTTGGGGAACTTAGAGTAAGTTACAAGAATATATTGTCAACGAACGATTTTTCCTAGCTTACTTGTCTCTTGTCCTATACAATTTTATAGGTTTTTATAATAATTAACGATACAAACATAATTTCCGTATTATTTGTCAGACAGTATGGGATCAAGGGTTGGAGGGGAAGACAGTGAAGTAGATATCAGTCACCAGACAGATAAACGTACATTGTCAAATTTCATGATAAAAATTAGAATGCACATAAAACAGAATATCAACAACACAAAGTTCTAATAATCTATAAAATTGATAAGACTGGTGAGTATGAAATCATCACGTTCCTGCGTTCACACGCCATTTTAAGGTCAAACGGTAGTCAAGGTCTTATAAACAAACCACACCATTGGAGGAATTTGACTACACACTCACTCAAACTTTCAGCCTATATATATATATATATTATATATTATCATCACAATAAAATTCAAGAGTATTCCATGAATTCGATATATATTAATGAAAGTATGATTAGTTGCTGATTGTGGGCAAAGAGGCACTCAACTCACTGACTACTAAATATGCGATTTCCTTTCCTCTTATTCACTTTTACTCCGGAGTCACTGAGTGACTGCTTGTAATTGTGTAGAATAAAGTATTAGTTAGTCTATGTTTTAGTGTTCTATATTTAGCCATGGATCGGGTATCTGACATGATATGGTCTAATATGCATACAGAGGATCATTTGAGTACCAAATCTAGCGGTATTATAAACTCGGTCATCCGCTCAGCATATATTATTGTAGTACAGCAATATATCGTGCAAGGAAAAAAATATGTTCTATCCTCTCAATACATAAGAAGTTAATAAGGGTGAGAAATTGATCATCTCAATGATTTCAGTACTAGACTTATAGACAATACGTTATAACCTTGAAACGATGGCTTAGGAATTAAAGCGGTAAACTACCGGATTAGGGTTAAAATCTTACTCTATATAACTTATGCTGCGGACCCCAGCAATAATAACCCTTGCCAAACAGTAAGTGCAGCTCATATGTGAGCACACAAACTCATATCTGTATAGTTGGATTTATTATGGATGAGTAGATATTACAGTGAAAAGTATCGAATTACCTTTTCCAGAGCAATCATTTCTTTTTGAAAAAGTTCCAACTCTTCTGCCATTTTATCCTTATATGGAACACATCGAACCTATAAAACAAAAAAGAAGTGGAATTGTCGCTATGAAAAATCATTATATTATAGTGTCATACTTTTGCATCCTTATATCGGTCATCAAAAAAACCTTCTGGGAGTTGAGATTGCGATTCTACTTTTTTCTCTGCAGGATTTTTTTCACATATTTTTTCACTGGGAATTAACGTTGGTAAGTTGTTGTGTTGGTTAGCATCCGAATCTTTCTCGTCTGACTTAACCTGTACATATGGAAATATACATCACAGAAATTCCCACACACCTACTTCGTTTTCAACTTTCGCCGATTTACAGGTTACCTCGTCAATTGCTTTGGCTCCTGTAGTAGGACGTTTAGTGGGCAATTGGATTCCACGTAGTTCGTTCTATAGTAATTTTAGAAAAAAAAAGACAAAAGCTCAGCACATACTTGTTTATGCGACTTGCTGAGTATATGTGCAGTCCAAGCAAATTCTGATTTGATTTGCACACCACATAGAATGCATGATATCCGACCGAGTTGATTATATCTCACATGAGGATGATCAATAGTCCGTTGAGCTTGTGGCTTTGTAACTCTAATCAATTGACGAATATCTGATTTAGGAATGATACTAACATCATTTGATCTTTTATTATTCATTGAAGAAAGGAAGAGCTGTAGTTACGTGTAGTTACATGTGTTTTTTTCAACAAAAAAAAGAGAAACAAGGGGTTAGAACAATTTGAGCTAAAGGTGATTTAGGTAATTACGAATTATTTGTGAATACTTGTTGCTGGATAACCAACTTAACGTTGACTAAACACCCATTCACGAGTTGCGAACTATGCATTTATTGTGATCTGAATTTTCGTTTTTGAATAATGTCTTAAGATGTCAACAGTATAGTAACTAGTGTGATAACTGTACAACTTGGTGTTCCATTTATTTCATTCCATCTAATTTCTATTAAATGGCTTAACTAGAGATATATGACATTATAACAAATGTTTAGTCACGTTTTTTAGTTGTGTAAAGTTTGTACTATAATTTCTAAGGAGAATAGTGCATGCAACGAGAACGTTAGTAGTCTAAAATAAAGAAATAAAAGGTGGTATAAATGAAGGCAGTACACAAGAGTACGGATGTTGTAGTCGTAAAACCGTTGTCTGATTTCACGAACAGGTTGAAGAAAATTATCATAAATCAATGTTACGTGACATATATTTCACCTCAACAGATGAGAAATAGTTACACATTTTTGTATTGATCTTAAGGAGACATAAACGAACGATATATTACTCAGTGAGGTTAGTCAAAGGAAAACAAATTTAGTTTTTCAGTGTAATTGGTACCATAGTGAACATTGAAAAAGTTTCTGAGGGATATAGTGAGAATACCTCCTTCCCTGAGTAAAATCCTTAGCTAAGAGACAAACAATCAAAGTTTGTGCATACTTTGGAGTAATTCTCTATATATTTAACACGTTGATAATCTTTCTTCAAGAGTGGTTACAGAATGAAACTTGGGATTTATTTATTGTGGGAAGAAGAGTTATAAGGAATATGAAAGACAAAACCAGGGTTCTTCTCTGCTGGACTTGGTAATCACTCATGAGACTGAGGATATTGTCGACTTAAATATTCTCCCACCGTTAGTGAACAGCGATCACGCTGTTTTGTCATTCGCGTTTAGAACTAGGGACATGTTATACGATCAGGTTACACCTCGCCCAAATGTATGGAAAGCTAACATATCAGCCATTCAGGAATGCGCTGTTAAGACAGATTGGTTAGTAGATACTAGCATATCAGTTGAAGATTTATTTATTTTAACACATAGATATTGGTACAAGGAGGCACCAAATACATATGCGCCACACAAATCTCATTCGATATGTGTGAGGGCTGCGATACTGCCCGGGTGCCCAAACCGAAGCATGGTCTGTATTTAAAAGTAAATTTAGACTATTTACGTCCCCGTTCATACCATACCTTGTACCGCGAAGACCGAATAGCAGTCCACCATGGATAACTAAAACAGTCAGGAAACTCCTTAGAAAAAGGAAGAATCACTGGAATATGTTCATCTCTACTGGCTTAGAACAATACAGATCCAGTTATTGTAAGATTAGGAATGCCTGTAAAGCGTTAATAAGCAAGACTAGACATTCATACGAAAAACAATTGGTTAGGGATTCTAGATACAGTCCGGAACGGTTGTTCTCGTATTTAAAAAGGCGAACTAAGAGAAGCGATGGAATTCCATCACTTTTGATACGAGATAATCCGTTAATCTTAGCAGAGAATGATGCCGAAAAAGCTGAAGCTTTATCGGAATATTTTAGTAAAGTGTTTTCTATCGATAATGAGGAACGACCAACGACTCATCGCGACCGTGTCGGCTCGCTGGTGGATCCGGTAGTCATTGAGAAAGATACTGTTTTAAGGCTACTTCAGCATCTCAAACCTGATAATTCCAATGGTCCCGATGATATTCATCCTAGGATTATGAAAGCCATATCAGATGAAATTGCTGAACCATTAGCGATACTATTCGACATGTCTCTGAGACAGTCCAGACTTCCTAGAAACTGGAAAGACGCCATAATAAGTCCGGTGTATAAGGCTGGGAGTAGGGATTTATTTAGTAACTGTAGACCCGTTAGCTTAACTAGTGCAGTTGTAAAACTGATGGAGAAAAATCATTCGGATAGCTGTTATAAACTATTTTGAAGGGCAAAATCTTTTCTCCAGGGCACAACATGATTTTCGGAAAGGCCTATCATGCTTGACAAATCTTCTTATTGCACGAGAAGATCGGGCTGCTGCGAAAGATCGGAATATTCCTGTGGATGTGATTTTCATAGATCTAAGTAAAGCCTTTGATAAGGTTTCCCACTCTGGTCTTAAATTCAAACTGAAACGTTTTGGAATCCATAACACAGTCATCGATTGGATAAGTAACTTTCTCCATGACAGGAGACAAAGGGTAAGGGTTAATGGGGCTCTTTCCTCGTGGATACCTGTAAAAAGTGGGGTTCCCCAAGGTACAATCCTATGTCCTCTTCTCTTTTTACTTTATGTAAATGAATTGCCAACTGTAGCAAAATCATCCGTTCTACTCTTCGCTGATGACATAAAGATTTGGAGACCCATACATAGTATGTCGGATAGAATAGTATTACAGGATGATCTTAGCTCATTGGTGGCAAAGTTAGATAGGTGGTCACTATAAGTAAATCCTAATAAGAGTGTAGTGATGCAGTTAAATAACTCTGATGAATCGTATGACTATACACTACGTGGATTCGTGCTACTCAAAGCAAGAAACTATAAAGATTTAGGAGTCATATTAAGCAATGATCTCAAAACCACTAGTCACTGTAAGGCTGCTGTTGCAAAAGGCTATAAGGTATTATGGTCAATTCGTAGGTCTTTCCAGTATTTAGATGATGAAATGTTTAGATTACTATACCCGATTTATGTGCGACCACATTTAGAATACGGGATTCAGGTAGCGTGTCCTTGTTTCAAGTATGAAGCAGATATGCTAGAAAGAGTCCAACGACGAGCTACTAAGATGGTACAAGGTCTATCTGGCTTATCTTATGAAAACAGACTGAGACACCTTAACTTATTTCCGTTATCTTACCGTAGAATACGGGGTGATCTAATATTGACCTATCGTATACTGAAAGATGACCTTGGTATTAACATGTCTTATCTTTTGCTTCTGTCTAGAACCGATCATTTGAGAGGACATTCGAAGAAAGTTCAAAAACCGAGATCAAACCGTTTACGTCTGGAATTCCGTTTCTCGCGCCGAGTAGTGAATTACTGGAATTCTCTACCGGAACGCGTAATATCAGCACCGTCTGTTAATATATTCAAAACGAGGTTGGACCTCCACAGTATTACAAACTGCAAGGATTAATATAGGTCGATAGACCTACTATCCTTATTACTGAAGACTGATGTGTTATACACGGACAACTCTAATTCGTTCATTATCTACTAGAACGAGAAGAAAGGTTAGTAGTGACCCTCAAAAGAAAACGAAAATTCACACTTTGTTTATGTGTTTAAAAACAGATAGGGAGTGAGGTTTTTCAAAAACTTTACTAGTTAGACTATACAGAACTGTCTAAAACAATATGGGGTCAATAACTAAGGAAACGATACAAGCCATTGTTCAAGTGCAGACTAATGGTGGCAGAGATGGGCTTCTCATGAATAGCACTGCCATTCGAGTTGGGTGCTAGTTTGAGCCGTATGAGATCTAGTTACGCATTTATGCATGACATAACAATGAACTAAATTTACGCACGTCCTCATAGCGACACCAAAGTAACCTACAGCATGCACACACAATCTCGCGATTTGAAGAAAATCTGGAAAAATTCCGGGTTTTTATTTCGTATGCCCATGATATTTTGTTGAAGCTGCACCGAAATTGGTACATTTTTTCCCTGGAATTGGTCATCTACATTCTAAGGTCAAGCGAGAATTATAAACCAATCTGAGCTATTACGATTATTTTAAACAGCTAGATGTTAGGGTCAGGACTAAGGGTTTCACCATGAAATGACATCAACACTCTCTGTGTTCTCCCAAACTCTAATCTTCTGAATTCTTCATGTCCCTTTTTCCCTCTTCCCAAATTTCTTTCACCGGATTATACTCTTTAAATAACATCTCCAAACCCTAATCTTCCCGATTACTGCTTATACTCTTGCTACCTTTACCACTACGGGATTTGAATCGACCACTGCATCTCTGTGCTAATGTGGTGTGGCAACTCGAACTGATGTACGTACGTACAAAGTTCTACGTTGTTACTGACTGACTGACTGACAGCGAGACTATAATTTCTGAACGAACCAATTGGTTGATCAATCAGGCACAAAATAACAGGTTTCGAATTTTGGCACGAAGTTCACTCATTATTCGTATAAATAGAGTTTTGGCATTATAGATGATGTTGGTTCGTAATGAAAACCCTAAATCTAATTTCTAACATAAACCATCAGATGTTAACCATAATTCTAAATCGTCACACAGGTTCACAACCCTCATTTGGTCCCAGTTGTTAGGTGGGCACACTCAAGGTTAAGTTAGCATCACTCGGAGGTCGTCCATAATTTATAGTCTCACCAAAGGAACTAGAACTTCAAATATGTGAAGATAACCCTAAAAGACCTTGACATACAGCTTAGATTCATATTTCGCGCTACTTCAGTGAATATTGAGGTGATCAGAACTGAATTATAAGTAGCTTTCTCATATTTATTCGATTTTTGGTGACATAATCACCTCATTTTGGGCCCAAAATCATAGTTGAGCTTAAAAAATGATATGCGGATGGATTTAAATCTTACTACCGTTCTATGGTTGTTGATATGATATGTAAGGTGTATTTAATATACAGGATTTTTGATCTCCTAAGGACTTGAAAATAATCCATTATTGACAAGCTTTGAATCAATTCATATTCAACTTATTCGAAACCTGACACGCTTTGTCTTGGGGTATTAGTTGCCAAAATACTCGTCCTCCATAATTTGAATTGTGCTGGGGTTGTTATCATTCAACTTTTCTCACTACTGGTGAATAGATGTGAAATTGCATTATGTTCTACATCTGGGAAATTCTACTATCAATGTGAATGCATGAGACCATAAATCAGGGATCTTTCCTTGTCAACACATTTGTCGGTAAAAATTATTCCTCCAGTGTAACAGATTTGGAGTTTGGGGTACTTTCATATATTTATCTTATGTATATCTGGATTCTGGCAAACGTCTCAAGCTTTACTATAGTCGCGCTTCGGGTCTTCTTTACATGTCACGCCTATTACGTTGGTTTTATCTAGGACCTGTGAGACCAGACTTTGACATCCCTCATTCTCTTTCGACTAAATACTCACTTTTCGACTTCTATTACGATTCTCCCTCGCTATTCTTTGTTGCTATATTTCCAACTTGACCACCAACAATAATGCCTCGTTTGACTCTATTCAAGGTTACAGTGTGG